AATCCTAGCATAGGAAACATTTCCTACGAAGGCATATGATACATGCACCACAAGGCTCACATCAAAGGAAGATAGAATAACACCTCCAATTGATCTATAATACCAAGCATTGGAAAAGAAGACCAGAATAATAACAGACTTGCGATGAATTTTTGAATAAGATCCTGGTGTTATTTGGTCAACATCTCTTCTATAGATATGACTGAATTTCTCTTATCTTTCCAATGATTCTTGAATAACATCAATATAATATTGGGAACTCAAGATACGATCATTTTAGTGAAGATAGCACATGTAGAAATTCCTATACGAGTTTATTATGAGATTTTGTAAATATTATGAATTTTCAACATTTTTATTGATTATTTGTAATATAATTTAATATACGATTATGCATTACCTTTTAGGATTACATTTATTATTTTATTAGGAATTAAGATCAAAATAAAGCAATATTCTTAGTTTATTATCTATTAGGAATTAAAATTAGAACATGTTTAGTTTAATATTAATTTTATTCATTAGCTATTTAGGACTTTTAGAACTCCCACCTATATAAAGGAGCTTCATTCATCTTTGTAATTATATTTTTTATTGAATACAATACATTGAGAGTTTATCTTTGCAAGTATTGATTACTTGTTCATTAGAAGCTTCTTTTTCATTAAGTTATTTTCAAGTTCTTTATGAAAAAGATCTTCACACTCTGTATTACCTCTTCATTACAATTAGGAGGGATGTTTAGAGCCATTTATCGAGTTTTCCTTTCATTACGACTAGGAGGATTCGATAGGATAGTTATCCGTCTGTTTCAATCTTCCACAAGTCTATTATCTTCTTCTTCTATTCAAATCATTCCGCTTTCTTCATCGAGTCTACAGCTTTCTAGGTTTGATTCCTCAACGAGAGAAACAATCATTCATCCACTGTCACATATCTATCAGCATTGCTTTTACCCCACTTCAAAAGGATAAATTGGGTATATAACTTTATGGTATGCAATGCACATGTTATGTGTGGAGAGAAACCTACCAACCTTTGCAAACAAAATCTAATTCTAAAATAATTTCTCAAAAAATCTTAAAAGCGTAGAAACCATTGAAATGCACACAACGATACAATTATTTACAAGAGTAAAAAAGATGGAAACAAACAACGGATCAAGTAAATATGCAAACACTCGAGGATCAAGGATTAATTAAATTGAATTCTTAATTTTCATTGTAAATGCAATAATTAATCGACAAATGGCTTGACGCTCTAAAGTCCCTAGCGGAGTCTCCAAGCTATCATAACGTCTAGAAAAATAAAAAGTAGTTTTAGGGTTCGTTTTGACTGAAATTATGTTTTCCTTTAAAAATAAAAAATATGGTTTGAGGGATTCGCCACCAATATTTGTTTAGGGTGTGATTGGATCACAAAAAAATATTTTCATTTTAATAAAATTTAAATTTTAAAATTATTAAAACTACTTTTAGGTCTACTTTCTAGAAAAATGAGTTTAGGAGTCGATTACATGTAGGGAATGATTAACACCCCAACACTCCCGAAAATCAGTACCTAGTCGATTAATTATTGTGTTTGCTATGGAATTTATGAATTCAAACTTAATTTATTTAATGTTACTTTTTATTTAAATGAATACAACATCGTTTAACCAATTAAAATTATAGAGAGAAAAGTTAATTATTAGTTGCATTTAATTGAAGAAAGTTATCACCTAATATATGTAGGATGACATCTCTCCCTTTTTCAACTAAAGTAGTGAATTAACAATATTTCTTCTCAAGAATTTTAAGTTAAATCGATAGCACTTCGGCATTTCAAAACGAGGGGGAAATACCTAGGGGTGTCTAATCAATCGGTTCGGTTAACCGACCAAACCGAACTATCAAAAAATCGTTAACTAAATTTTTTTTCCTCTTAACTGTTAACCCAACCAAAATTTTGTCGAAAAATTTTAACCGAACCGAATAAAGCTCAATTAATTGGTCAGTTAACCAAATTAACCAAAATTTATAAATAATATATATATTATATATTTAATATTTTTGGTTAATTCAGTTAAAACCTAAGTTTAAACATTCCTAAGACTAAGAATATATAAACAATATATTTAATATATTAAATATTAAAATATTTAGTTAATTAATTAATTTCGAACCAAATTAACCAATAACCAATGTTTGAAAAAAGTTCTTAACCGTTAATCGATTGAACGAAAAATTAATCAATCGATTAACCGAAAAAACTTTAGTTTGGTTGATTAATTTGGTTAAAATCAAAATTTGAACACCCCTAGAAATACCATCTAATATAAAGTAGAACGGTGATTTTCCCACTTTCAAAAAGAAATAAGAAAATATCAATCGTTGTATTAATTTACCTAAAGGTTATTCAAAAACAAACATTTTATTAATAAAAATTATCGAGCCTTTAAGATAGATAGAAGATATTTAAATTTTTATAAATACTGAGACTAGACCACCGAATAGGATCGAGTGGCATATCCTTGTTAAATCTAAATATAGTAACATTTCTCTTTTTATCACTGCTTAATTTTTAGACTATTGTCATATTAATCAGTTTCACTAGAGGATACTTACTTATTTTAAATTATCATAATCATACTACCAAGTGGATCAGGACAAATTTATTCGATAATTTAGAATAAATAAATAATACCTTTTAGTTAATTATGAAAATGTATTAAGTGATGCAAGTGGGGCTATCATACTTATCGATTAAATAACGATGTCATTGTATCAAACAACATGCTTCATAGAATATTAATAAAAATTAAAGGAACAAATCAAAGGGTCAATTTAGTTAACATGATAGGGTTATAATACAAAGAATTAAAAGTACAAGCATAAGATGCAAAAAATTTATAAACAATTTAAAGTGATCAATGACTAAATTATATTAAAAATAAATTTTTGGGTCAAATTAAATAGAATATCAAAATTATTTACCTTTAATAATTTGTTACTTTAAAATAAAACGAATTAGGATACGCTAAAAACGTTAATAAAATAAATTACGTATAATATGCAAAACAAGAAAATAGGGTTATATGTATCACAATAAAAAAATACACATGAAAAGATAAATTAAATAAACAATAAAATACATGAATATGTAAACTTCAAACCACATACAAGAAAAGTAAAAAAACGAATAAAAGGAATAAATAAAAAGAAACAAAACAAAATTAACTAAAATTAAAATATTCACATGGAAGTGAAACTAAAGAACAATAAATCATAACCAAACTAACAAATCAAAGAAAACTAATTATAAGGCAGCGAAATTAAGTGCAAAATTAAAAAAATAACTAAAGGAATTAAATATTCTTTTTTAAAAGAATGGTTAAAATTTAAAAAGTAAAAGTAAACCAACAGTAACAAATTAAATGGAAATTAAAAATTAATAATAAAAAAATCTTACTATAAAAGTGAAAGAAATCCAAAAAAAATATAAATAAATAAATAAAAACACCCGGGAGTTCATCCAAGTCAACAAATCCGCTTATAGGAACATAATAATTAAATTTAATTATAATTGTTCGAATATATTGTTTTGGATCGTACGTATATTTATACTTAAAGAAATTCAAACACAACCGAAGGATTATTTTGCTTCGCATTGCGTATAGTTTTCAAACCGGGTGGAAGTGTGTACAGCGTGGGGGATGTTTTAGCATTAAAATCTTGGAATTAATATAAAGGCAAATAGCGTGCTCATCCAACTTAGACAATTATCTCAATTTACGCAAAACTATAAACATAAAATCATTACAAAAAGGATAATGTAAAATGTGTTTGAACACTGCATCGTAATACTGTTGAAATGTATAAATAAGTGACTAAAGTAGTTAATTAAAAAAAATACTTTAATTTAAAGACCTAACTGTTTTTTCTAATTTAAAATTTAATCCTTATTTAAGGATGTGCAGTACTAATAATGTAATTTTATTCTTACATATCTCAAATCTCCGAGTGTTCTGTCAATCTTCACAACTTGAGAAGCTGAAAAACAATGGCTAGAGTTTTAGAATTGAATAACCTTCCATGCAAGACCTTGTCAACTCCACACCATCTCCAAATCATTCCAAAACCTTCAATTCTGCATCTTAACTCTATCAAACAAATTCATAATTCAATCAGCATATCTCGCTTTTCGAACCGAAAGCCAATCCGCTGGAGACCCGGTTTCCAAGTATTTGCAGCGGACGACGATGGAAGTGGCCCAGACAAGGAGGAAACGGATAGGTTGAAGAAAGCTTTGGTGGATTCGTTTGAAGGGAGTGATCGTGGGTTGAAAGCCACTAGCAAGGCGAGAGCCGAGATTAGTGAGCTTATAACTCAGCTCGAGGCCAACAACCCAACTCCGGCTCCAACTCAGTCACTCCCTCTGCTTAATGGCAAATGGATTCTCGCGTAAGTTTCTCTTTCTATTTTACCATTTCTTGATTGAGTTTGCTTACGAGTATAAATCAACTTATCTTGAACGAAAAAAGCTAAGTTGAATTTGGTTTATTTATTTTTGAATATGCTTATGTTGGTTCATTTAATATTTATGAATATATTTATTTAGTATTTGTGAACGTTGGTTGATTTGAGTTTGTTTTATACAAACATGTACTGTTTTGTGGCACAGGTACACATCTTTCACTGCACTATTTCCGTTGTTGTCAAGGTGACAACTGCAGTTATTAAAAGTAGAGGAAATATCACAAACTATAGATGCTGAAAGTTTGACTGTGCAAAACTCCGTCCAATTCTCTGGGAAATTGGCCTCAAGTTCTGTTACCACCAATGCAAAGTTTGAGATCCGAAGTCCGAGGCAGGTGCAGGTATGTTTTGGGGATATAAATAAATAGAGCGTTCGATGAACTGTTCATGAATCTTTTTTATAACATTCATTTATTAAATTAAATGAACAAGTATGAACATAATTTTTGTGTTCATTTAATAAATGAACGAACATGAACATAGATGTGTATGGTTTGTTTATGTTCACGAACAAGCTCTTTTATCAGTCTGTTTATTTGATTCTCATTTTCTTTTCTTTTTTCACATTTTAAATATTAGTGAAAGTAGAGACTAAACTGAACACATGTTAAATTTTGGAGTTCAAACTGTGAAATATATAAACGAACATGTTCACACACGTTAAACGAATCTAACACAAATATAATATTAAAAATTTAAACGAATAGAACATGAACATCTTCAAAAATAAATAAACAAATATGAAGTCAACCTTATTTGTTCATGTCCGGTTCATTTACACCTCTAATAACGTTGTTTATGTCTGCAATTCAACCAATCATACCAAACAAGTTTTCCTTTACAAATACATGTAATGATTCTTATGTTTCTTGCAGATCAAGTTTGAAGATGGCGTAATCGGAACTCCCCAGCTGACGGACTCCATAGTGTTACCAGAGAATGTGGAATTTCTGGGACAAAAATTTGATCTCAATCCTATTAAAGGCTTGCTCACCACTGTCCAAGACACGGCTTCCTCGGTTGCCAAGTCGATTTTGAGCAGACCATCGTTGAAGTTCTCGTTAGCATATAACAATGCAGAATCATGGTTACTTACGACATACCTTGATGAAGATGTGCGAATTTCGAGAGGAGGTAGTGGGAGCGTTTTCGTGCTCATCAAGGAAGGCTGTTCTCTGTTGAACTAAGATTTCACTCACTTTTGCATCACGTTATTTATGCTCCTGGTTTCTGTTACACTAATGTAATACGTTAATAAATAATTAAGTAATATGTGATAATACTTAATACACACACACACCATGTTTATATGCTTAAAGCGCCAAACATGTATTATTAGTAAATCAATGCTTATTTCCTAAGACTGAGATAAAGAGAAAAAAGGGGAAATTCCTTCCTGTGTCGTGCATTTTTTCAACTTTTTATAATCTCTTCGAGGCGGATCACATCTTTCACTTTCTATAAAATTAGGAAAAATATGCTTTTTTTTCCTTCAGAAAGTTTATTTTAAACGTCTCAAAGAAAAGGTACAACAGCCTCAAATAAGGAATGGTACAAAAATTTTATGATTTCATATTAGAGGAACAAATTTATAAAATTTCAGGAATGATGAACATATAAATTTTTTTGGGACGAATAATTTTATCAATATAAATTTTTAAAAAAAAATATATATATGAGAATTGAGATTTTTAAACAGGCCGTCCCTTATCTCAGTATTAGCCAATACTTTGAGGTGGTTGTCATAAGCATTTTCTACCTAGAGCTAGTTTGACATTGTTTATGAAAAATAATTTAACATTTATTTGTTTATAATTATTTTTGAAGGATATTGTAAAATTCAAAACATATTCATTTGAATTATATTTAAATTCATTAACATTATTTTTCTTATATATATTATGATATTTTATAAATATTAGAGATTATTTTTCATACATATATTATGATATATTATATATGTTAAGGTTACTATTTTATTAAATTAATTAAAATATATATTTTTTAATTCTAATAATGTTGAATTAATATTTTGATATAATAATTAAATTGTAAAATGATTTTTAAATGTAATCAAATTTTTCAAAATTTTATCAAAAATAATTCAAAGTCCAAATTAACTTGAATTTTTTTTAAATGTTTTCTAACTTATTCGGAAATTTTTAAAAAAAACTCGATCGTTTTTGCACTTTGAAGTCATGTTTCCTAGGTATTTTGGCTCAAAGGATCGATTCTCTTACAAAAATATTGATCCTTTTGATCAAATGATCGATACCCTTGAAAAAGATCAAACCCTAGGATTCCAGTAGCGAAGAATCGATCCCTTCACCAAAGGATCAATCCTTTGAGGAAAAAGATCGACCCATTCACCAAAAGGATCAATCACTCGATAAAAAATATTAATCTCTTTCTTACAATGGTCTAATTATTTGAAACTGATTGATCTCTTGTGCATTAAATATTGTTTTTGGATATAAGTAACGACTATAATGATCTTTAACGACTACAATGGCTAGAATTGATAGAAAAAGTATAAATTGAAGGCTAAAGCATCTCAAGGTCAACAAGAACCATATTGAACCAATATACCAATATCAAAGAAATCTTTAGTGCTTGTCATATTCTTTGAAACACACTCATGAGCTACATTGTTTAATTTGCTCGAGTATAATTTGGGTGAGAGCTTAATTATTGCAAACACATTTTTCTTGTGGGGTTTTCTATTTGTTTGGTTCATTTGTAATTACTATTCTGGAAAGAGTTTAAACAAGGTTTTGGGGTATAAACCTTGTAAGTTGTTGTAAGGTTACACGTTATCCTACAAGGTTAGCAAATCTAGTGGGTTGTTGATATGAAATCATGTTCTTTATGCCTTTAATTTGATCATATATATTGATTTTGAGAATATGATGATTAATATAGCCAAATAAAATGAAAAGATGCATGTTTAGGATTCTTAGTCATTGTATGTTTGTTTAACTTGTTGGACCTTGTGCAAATCAAGATCTAAATTGATAAATAATAAAAATTTGCCTAATCTGATGTTTCAAGTTGTCATTTATACACATCTAGCATCCTCTAAGTCACTAAAATTAATTTCAAATCAATATTATGACTTAGATTGCATCAAACTTGTATCAAGTGCCATCCCATTTGGTCATTAGAATAAATATATATTTTTTTCAAAAAAAAAGATTGATCCCATTGAATAAAGGATCGATCCATTTCATTTTTTAGAAAAATAATTGATCTATTTTATAAAATAATCGATCTCTTTTTACTATGGATCGATTCCTTTAGGCCAAATGTGTTGGAAAAGCAGTTTTAGGCCAATTTAGTTACATATCACTTCTTCCAAGCCTATTTTTGAACCCAAAACACTCATAACTCTCTAAATATGTTTTCTCATCAAAATCCTTTAACTCAAATAAATTTCCATGGTTTTTTTTAGAGAATTCATCCCTCATTCCTCTTCTCAATGAATCATTCATCTTTTTGGAGTAACATATTTGGGTAAGATTTTCTAAACACCATAACTCTTAAAATTTTCAAATTTGAGTAAAATTGGGTTGAATTAGCTGATTAGAGAATGATTATTCATTGTAAATATTATTGTTTTCTTAAGGAGATTTACCTAAATCTAATATTTTTAAAAAATCAAAACTTTTATCTCACACTCATAAGGTGTTTGATAAAATTTCTCAACTAAAAGCCACCCTCTATACAATTCGGCCATGCATCTTTTCTTAGCTCAAAAAGTTGTTTTAATTCTTCCAAAAAAAATACTTTTTAGTCTCCTTCAAACATATCATTTAACCTATACTTCATTTTCTTCAAATTCTTTTAAAATGCCTAAATGAAAATCTATGGCTTCTAGGGGGAGCTACCTCTAGCAACCCTCAAAGTTGTTCAAAGTCTCTTGATTTGTGTTTCAAAAATTTCAAATCCTGTGAAAGATATGATTTTTTTTTCATAGCTTGTCCGATTGAGGATACTTGGAAAACTAATTTTTGATTTTTAAACCAATTGGGTTCCTTACGAAAAAATTTGAAAGACTTGGAGCTCTTTAATTTTCTCAACTTTCATGGACCTAGCTACAAGTCTTTGGTTCGAGCTTTTTGTTCCAATGCTTGTGTGTCATTCTTTCAAACCCCAGATGAAACCATTTATTGAACCATTTTTTATTATCTCATAGGTCAAACCATTATCATCTTCGTCGATTTCATCGCCTAAACCTTCAACTTACCTCTTACCAGCACTGACAACAAAAATGGACATTTTCCTCCTGATATGTGTCTTAAAAACAATAAAGCCACTCTATTCTCCCTTAATGACTGGCTGCTTCATCTCATCATCACCCATGTTATTCGAGATTATGGCACAAAATTCTTGATAGTTAGCGATAGTGACTATTGGTGGATGTATTTCGAGATTATGGCACAAAATTCTTGATAGTTAGCGATAGTGACTATTGGTGGATGTATTGTATCCAATAAGGTCCCAAAGTGCATCTAGTGAATATGATATTCAATGATATAGTGAGTGTAATCAAATCAAAGGCTCAACCGAATATAGTGTACGAGATGAATCTTAGTCACTTGTTCGATCTGCTTCATGTTGACATCTCTTATGAGCCTGGCACGTTTACTTCCGATGACAATACCATCAATTGTGCTACTATCCCAAAATTGGCTATATCGAGGATCTTGAGGGATCCATGCATTGGGTACGTCACACCAATGATCATGGAGATGATGATCCCATGGATGATGATCATGATGAGCATAATGAAGTGGAGCCTGAGGGAGCGACACGTGTAGATCTGACACCACCAGAGTTTTTTCTTCACGATTTTCATGATTCAATGGTGCGGACACTTGGATCTCTTAGACCCCATGTTGACTCTCATTTTGATTCAATTGAGCATCGTCAGGGTGCTCTTGGTGAGGATGTTCAAGCAATTCAATGTCATCTTGACATATTCTCGGTTCCTCCTTCACCATATTAGTGCATGCATATCATCTCATTTTCATATGTTAGACTTTGCTACATTTATTTATGTTTAACCTTTGATGTTATGTTTTTATTTGGTATTTGGTATTTGGTACTTTGATATTTTTATTTGGATATTATGACTTTGGTAATTTATTTTTGTATGGATTTGTTTATATATATTAATGTACAATGATCCTTGATATTTACTTTAATATTCTTATGTTTGATTATAGCATTTTTATATTACTTCATCTTCTTGTTATAGTGTAATAACATTGTGAATTATTTTTTATATAATAAAAATGGGAGAGTAATGATATATTGAAAAATGATTTTCAAAGTTAAATAGATCTTAAATTTTTAACAAATTCATAAACTCTTTTATTATTTTTTTCAAAAGGGTAGTATTTTTGAAAGCAATTTTTCAAAGGGTTTTGTTATATCAAAAAGGGTAGAGTGTTGAATTAATTAATATTTTGATCTAACAATTAAATTGTAAAACTGGTATTTAGACTTAATCAAATTTGTCAAAAAATTATAAAAAATTATTCAAAGTCTAAATTAACTTGAAAATTTGTTTTAAATATTTTTCAACCTATTTGAACCTTTTCAAAAGCAAACTCGATATTTTGTGTACTTTAAATTCATGTTTGTAAGGTATTTTGGCTCAAAGGATCAATCCAATTAGAAAAGGATCGATCCCTTTAACCAAAAGATTGATCCCTTTGACTAAAGGATGCATCCCCTTGAAAAGGATTTATCCGTTGGATTCCAATAACCATGGATCAATCCCTTCACCAAAGGAATGATTCCTCGAGGAAAAAGATCGATCCCATCACCAAAAGGATAGACCCCTCAATGAAAATTAAGATCAATCCTTTTCTTGCAAAGGTCAAATTGTTTGAAAAATTATCTGATCCATTTCACCAAACGATCGATCACTTGTCCATTAAATATAGTTTTGGTTGTAGGTAACAACTATAGTGATCTCCAATGGCTCCAAATGACTAGAATTGATAGAGAAAATATAAATTGAATGTCAAAGCATTTCAAGGTCAACAAAAACCATATTGAACCAATATACCAACATCAAATAAATCTTTCATGTTTAATTTTGTCATATTATTTGAAACACACTTGTGAGTTACATTGTTTAATTTGCTCAAGTGTGATTTGGGTGAGAGCTTAATTA